AGGGTGAACTAGCATGAATGGTTCCTATGTTCTTTTCTAGTCCTTCTCCACTGCAAAAGTAAATTAAATTTAAATTGATACTAATTCTGGATTTAATTCACTTTCAGAACCAAAGGAAGAAAATTGTAGTTGTGGAAAACACGAGGAATGTCATTATCAAAAGTGTTTTTGCAAGAAAGGGTACTTGAAAAATAACCAAGGAAGTTGTGTTCCAGGTACTAAAATCGCAATACCCTCGTATAAATCAGGAAAAAGTCTGCAGTTCTCGTGATGTAGTTTGCTTAGAACCTTGGGACGACTTGGTCATTAGAGTGTCTGCATCTGCATTCTATCCTAAATTTAGTAAGAATGTATGTAAATGTAGGCCCAGCGCAGTTGGCTATAATTGGACACCTGTAGTGATGTAGTTAAAGCAACCTCGTTCCCAGGGCTTTTCCCTTTTTGAATATTTTCCCGCCCGCCAAAATATTCAAAAAGGGAAAAGCCCTGGGAACGAGGTTGGTTGTTAAAGTAGTCAATTAAAGTATATGTATTTAGTCCAATCAGCTGAATCCACCTATCATAGATGATAATACAATTAAGACATAGCGACAACCACTCACCCTACAGGGGAAATGTAAAAGCCAATTCAAAACTTTGTATTTTCCTTTTGTCAAAGATTGTAAGTGAATTTCAACTAACTGTATCAAAACTATTCTGTTCGTTTTACAGGTGCACATCAACCTAGCCATATGAATATCTACTCGTCCAGGTCTTCCAGCACGACTGGTCAAGTTATCCTTTTCCTACTAGCCCTTCTTGGTAAATGTGCCTTTGGTTAATGTCACAAAAGTGGCACCGCGTCTCCTGTTTTCTATATCTCCCCTTCTCTTCCCTTTTTTTATCAATCAAGAAAAAGATATTTATTTGGAGAGTCTGTTTCATTAACAGTAATGGATAGTAAGCTGTGCAGCACATCTTTAATCCTGTGTTTCACCTCTCTCTTACAGCAGTAAATAAGGAAATTCATATATATGGCTGTTAAACTTAAATCAGTTCGTAAACGAAATGAATAAACTTGAAAAAGAGCATTCTTAGCAATGGACTTGGTCAATACTTGGATTATCTTAGAGACATAAATAAGAAGAGTTGATCACACAGTAATAATCATGGTAATTAAACTATTAAGGTGTAATTTGGTCCGAAAACAAACCCCTAACATAAAAAATTCAGCAGGAGTGCAACATGTCGCTCAGTTTATTTTAAATTGCAAGTTTGATTCTAGAAGAATTGAATTTCACAACTCAAAGATCAATTGTCACTTAGCTACGAGTAGATCAATGTTGAAAATGCACAAATTGCTCAAGCAAATGATATGAGACAGTATCCTGTGATTCTTCCATCGACCCCAAAGCATTCTGGGCTGCCTAAACACAGTTAAATGGAATAAAATTTAAAGTTACAAAATTTGGCAAGTTAGACTCTAGTCGATCCACTCAGTCCATTTACTATAATTCAAAATCATTTTTCTTTCTCAAAAAGATGCAAATCAGATTGTTGTGATCCAATCAAAATGGCAACTGGAATAAATGCCTTTCCCATTCAGTTGTCTTCGTGTTGAAATACTGCTCAATCGTGGAAGTCTGGAATCATAAAGCAAGAACAGTACGGGGTAGCTGCCTCTCTCATGTATGCATATCGAATTCCCCATGCACCTGTGTCAACCCGATGTAAATTGTTGCCTGATCAATGTCATATAGTCTTCGATCCGTGGGAGATGTACAGTGCAGCTCAAGGATAAGAAGATCAACATATGCCCGTTTAGAACTCGTTATAAACGAGTCTAAGACCGGACATAGACAAGTCTTCACCGACAAGCATACACACCTACTGTTAAATATGAGCTGACCGATCATCTTTTCTTTCATGGAATGGTCTTTGATCAATCCAATGGGCACTGTATTTGCAGTAAAAACTGATGAACTGAATGTCCATTGATGATGAACTGAATGTCCACATTGCCTATTCGCCAATGTGGTACTGTTAACTGTACACAGAATTCACTCGCCGGAAAATTTCACTCACCAAATAACGCCTCACCATTGGACACTGACATCATACTTTAAAGAAAGAAAATGTCGTTTAAAACAGATCACTTTGTGCCTGACGATCTAAGATCATTTTTCCAGTGTTTGCTGTGACACTACATTCAAACTCATTTCAAATCTTTTTCTTGAAGAAGAAATAAGTAGATTCGATCAGCTTATCGTAAAAACTTTGAATTAACAAACTATTTTCAATAGAACCAAAGAAAGAAATTCTCAAGAAGCTAACGTTGTTTTGAGCTGCGCCTCGAATTCTCCTACGCTTCTCTCGTGCTCTCCAAACTTTCCGCGCGTATTCATAAATCGATAGATACGCACGCTAAGCATGGACCAATTTTTTATGTCTTTTATTAAAATGATAACTTAAGATCGCAATGACACAATTGAATTACTTTCCAGTAAGTCGTGCTCTTCGACAGGCCTCCTGTAACATTGACAGATGAGACCATCTACATCATATCG